CTTTCAGAGGATGAACGTGATTATCGTAAAAGGGGTGAGCGTAGGACGCAACGATATGGGAAACCATATCATCAGGGGCAGTACGTGAAGGAACCCCCGGAAGACGTACCTGACCGTCCCCCACCTCGGACGAAACGAACCGAGGCGAAAAAATCACAAAAGTTCCAGAAACAAGGCCCTACACCTCTGAACTCGGAAGAGACAGAGAAAATACGCAGGTTGTTAGAAACTTTGAAACACACTGACACGGGAACCCATCCAGGAGCACTATGCAGTAATGTAATTCCCATTACATCTGAGGGCACGAATGACAACATAACAGATGTCGGTCGAACACACCAAGACATAACTGTTGTTGCCCCAAACAACCCCTCATCAGAAGAAGGGGGGGTAAACACACACACAAACGATGACGAGTCATCGCAGGCTGAACACTCAGAAACAGCTTCTGCTGTGCTAACGGTTCAGACAAACCAAGATTACACAGATAAGGCTGAACGCGTGAAGAAGCGTCAGAAAAAAACCAAAAGGTTTCTGTGTAACTTTATCAGAAAGGGGGTCGCCAAAAAGGCGTACCTGTCAGTAACACTCGAAGGTGTCCTCACACACGAAGCACTCTTGGACGGTGGGGCAGACATAACAATTATGTCAGCTAAACTGTTCGAGGAGCTGAGGACGGCCGCTGCCAGTGTTAACAGGATAATACCTCTCTCTGAATGTGCTATAGAAATGCAGGGTCTCTCAGAAATGAAAACAACCCTGACAGCTATAGCAATGGTTCACATGCAGATTGGCAATATGACACTGTACCACCCGGTACACGTGACCCATGTTGACTCATTCCCATTTTTGGTTGGCCAGGATTTTATAAATCGCTTTAACGCGATTATAGATTATGGTGATCAAATAATGTGGACAAAAGTGAACTCTAGGCCTAGACAACCTAGTGTACCGGAGGCCAGCTGAGATCTGATGGAGCGTGCACGTTTTCTGGTCAAACAGATTAATTCCCTCACAAATCTCTCTAGTAAGATAAATCTCCATTTCCATCTTAAACTCTGCTTTCTCTTAAAATCAGTACAGATATTTTAGAAATATCTGAAGCAAAGTCCTCAATCACCGCCGTGTGATTGAAGCCCATTTTCTGTGAAACTTGTCTGTTATTATTTTCATATTTTGCCAAATTAATGTAAATGTTTGATGTTAAACTTTGATTCTGAAAATAAATGACCGCATTCATTTGATGGGTCAAACATAAATAACGTCTCTCGTTACATTTCTGTTAAAATTCAATGCACGACATTTACACAGTCAGAAAGATGAGGAACTCGTGAAAAGTATGAATATATTTCCCTATATGTCATACTACAGTTGTTGTAAATCAATGTAAGTATGTTAAAGGTCGGTTCTCGGTCAACTAAAATGTTTACCGAGAAAAATGTCATGTTTAAACTTTTTCAGAAGATAATAAGAGTGAGACTCCACGAAGTCTGAAGTCCTACAATAATCTTTCTGTTTGTCACTAAAACAATCCTTGACTTTTAATAACATCTTACATCACAAACCACACCTCTATTCCTTGTCCATCGACCAATCAGAAAGCTCTCAAATGACCCGGAAGTCGACCCATTTAAAATGTGGCAACTTCCCAGTTCATAGAGAGTTGGAGAGTTGCAAGAGGCTGAGACGCTGAGTTGCTGGAGTTTGCAGTTGCTGCAGTTTGCTGCGCTCAGAAATGAGTTCAAAGAGAGTGCTAAAGTCTGAAGTCTGAAGCCAGACGTTGAAGATTGATGGAGTCAGAGTTCTTGGATGCAAACGCGTTCAGGATGATCCAGAGACGTTTTGGGATTATAACTTCTGTTTGAACAACCTCGTACGACTCTCTAAGGGTTTGGCAGTTCTCACGGAGACGCTGAAAGAGTCAGAAAGGAACCTACGCCGACGCTGATTTCATCGTCAACCAGGTAGAAGGTTCTATTTTCGACTAAGTGTACCGGAGGCCAGCTGAGATCTGATGGAGCGTGCACGTTTTCTGGTCAAACAGATTAATTCCCTCACAAATCTCTCTGTAAGATAAATCTCCATTTCCATCTTAAACTCTGCTTTCTCTTAAAATCAGTACAGATATTTTAGAAATATCTGAAGCAAAGTCCTCAATCACCGCCGTGTGATTGAAGTTCATTATTTGTGAAACTTGTCTGTTATTATTTTCATATTTTGCCAAATTAATGTAAATGTTTGATGTTAAACTTTGATTCTGAAAATAAATGACCGCATTCATTTGATGGGTCAAAGATAAATGACGTCTCTCGTTACGTTTCTGTTAAAATTCAATGCACGACATTTACACAGTCAGAAAGATGAGGAACTCGTGAAAAGTATGCATATATATTTCCCTATATATGTCATACTACAGTTTAAATGTTGAAGTGAACTACTCATTTTTAAATCAACTGTGAAACAGTAATAACGATTTTTAATCCTCATTCAAAGTGGAAATCAAGTTGGAATATGTTACAGAGTAATGATTCAATTTCTTGATCGTCTGTTTGAAATGAGCAAGTTGTGTAAGTTGGTCAAAGTTCAAGTTTCGGTCAACTGCAAGTTTACTGAAAAAGAAATGTCATGTTTAACTTTTACAGCAAGATACTAGAGAATTGACTCCACGAAGTCTGAGTTCTTCATAATATCTTCTGTCTGTTCTTAAACAATCTTAATCTTTTTCCTTGACTTTTTAATAACACCTTACATCACAAAACACACCTCTGTTTTGGTCCATCAACCAATCAGAAACTCCCAAATGAACCGGAAACAGAGCTCTTTAAATGTCGGTACTTCCTAGTTCAACCCAGTTGGAGTCGGGTGGAGAGTTTGCAGCTCCAGTCGTTTGGGAGAACAGAAGTCCAGCATAATCCAGAGCTCTTCCGAGTCTTGTGGGAATTATGACATCTTCCACCTCTGAGTGGAACTTCTGAAGGACTCCACTCATGTGAAGTCCACTCGTGAGGTGAACTGTTGTTGATGAAGTCCCGCCACCACTCCGGACGGTTCTCTGCCATCCTACGGAGACGCTGGACCAGTAGCTTAACTGGAGCTCCGCTTCCACTGATTCATCGTCAGAGAGGTAATGAGTCGAGTTCACTACCGAGCGTACCGAGGAAAGCTGGGTCGAATGGAGGGTGCCGTTCTGTTCAACACTTTTCACTCACACACACACCATCTCCCTCCCTCTAAACTTCAATCTTTAAACTCTTCTATCTGCTAGCAAATTAATCCAGAAGCAAGGGAAACAATCGCCGTATTTTTTCCTCCTTGTAAAACTAGCCTAAATAAGCTGTTGTTATTTTCAATTTTTACCAATTAATGTAAATGTGTGATGTGTTAAACTTGATTCTGTTAATAAATGACCCACTGTCGTTGGTGAGTCAAAGATTATTAACGTCTCACGTTACATGTTTAATAATTCAATGCACGATATTATCCAGTCCAGAAAAATGAAAGAATCCGTTTAATTTATGAATATATATCAGCATATGTTCATCTACAATCCCATTGAGCCTATAAATTATAGCTTAATGTCTGACAGATTAGTTGAGGCAAACCCTTTTTTGTGTTTCCTGAAGTTAATTATTGGCTATGTCCCTCTTTCATTGGGTTGACTCCATCAGTTACAAAGTTGTTGACATATATCCAATGATTATTGTCTGAAAGTTTCCTTAGAAAATGTCCACTGGTTCATGAGATATTTTTCTGACACACAAAATTCAAACAGGATTCACCCCTTGGGGACTGTTTAGATCAGGGCTATTCAAGTAAACTGCTCAGGGAGCCACAGTGAAAGCCAGCAGCTTGGGGTGGGGTGGGGGGGGGGAGACATCCAGCGATTAAAGTCATTATGTAAATTAACCAAAGTTTACAATGATCTGTTACCTTTTAAATTTGTTTATTTTATTGCATTGAATCGTAAATGCAATAAACAGAAGCCAGAACCCCCCGCCCCCATTTTTGTTGTTGTTGTTTTTTGTTAATGAAGTGGGCCGGATGGGCCGCCAGTTGAAAAGCCCTGGTTTAGAGTTTTGAGTGGAAAGGTTTCAGTAAACCCATAACCCCACTCAGCTCCTTCGGCTTCGAGACAACCTGTCTGTGTGATTTCTCCGAGTAAACGTTTGCACCTCTGCAACTATGTCTGACAAACCTGACCTGAAAGAGGTCACAATCTTCGACAAAACCAAACTGAAGAAAACTGAGAAGAACACACCAACCAAAGAAACAATTGAACAGGAGAAATCAGGGTCCTCATGAAGCCCAACCCTCCACTGAACATTCTACTTGCTTCGCCAACTTCAGCCCCATAATGGGTATTTGAAGATGTAGCACTTAAAATTGTGGCTATGGTTGCAAATTTCTTACATCAACTCGATGAGATGTCTTTATAAAATGGACTTGTGTGGGATCTGGATCATCTGTAAGGTTTGCAGTGTGCCATTATGCTGACATGTCAGGAAATGTTATGGGCTTCATGATTCTGCTGCTCTGCTCCGGCCACTGAATGCTCATTAAACGTTCTGTCAACCTGAAATGCACGTGTTTAAATTTGCAAAATAAAAGCAAACAAAATATGGGACAGCTGTGGCTGAGTGGTTAGAGCAGTCGTCCTCCATTGGGAAAGTTGGGGCTCGATTCCACCAGTAGTCACATGCTGAAGTGTCCCTGGGCAAGATGCTGAACCCCTCATAGCCTCTGATGTGTGTCCCTTCGGTGAATGAATGTGATAAATCTCTGATTAGTCTTTGTATAGATCTAGTAGAGTGCTGTATGAATGGGTAAATGAGGACACAGGTTGTTGTAAATAGCTTTGAGTATCTCGATAAGATAAAAAGGTACAATCCATTTACCCATTATCAGCAGAAAAGAGACCTCTGCAACAGAAACCAACACTATCTTGATCACAGAACATAAACTGCCTGGCCAAAAAAAAGTCGCCACCTGGATTGAACTAAGCAAATAGGTACGAGCCTCCTATTGGATAATTACTGCATGGATGATTATCTTTCTGCTGCAACAAGTTATTTAACCCCAACTGGTGCAATGAGTTGCTTCTCATTTCTTAAACAACCATGTCAAAGACACAATGCGTGGTCGTGGAAAAGATGTCAGTCTGTTTGAGAAGGGTCAAATCATTGGCATCAAGCAGAGAAAACATCTGAGGAGGATGCAGAAACTACTAAAATTGTGTTAAGAACTGTCCAACACATTATTAAAAACTGGAAGGATAGTGGGGACCCATCGTCTTCAAGGAAAAAATGTGGCCTGAAAAAAATCCTGAATGATCATGATCGGCAATCACTTAAACGTTTGGTGAAATCAAATCGAAGAACAACAACAGTAGCACTCAGGGCTGTTTAATAGTGAAAGTAAGAGCATTTCCACATGCATGATGTGAAGGAACTCAAGGGACTGGGACTGAACAGCTGTGTAGCCTCAAGAAAACCACTAATCTGTGAGACGAACTGGAAAAAAAAGGCTTCAGTTTGCTAGGGAGCATAAAGATTGGACTCTGGAGCAATGGATGAAAGTCATGTGGTCTGATGAGTCCAGATTTCCCCTGTTCCAGAGTGATGGGCGCATCACGGTAAGAAGAGAGGCAGGTGAAGTGATGCACCCATCATGACTAGTGCCTAGTCATCAATGCAAGATCTTGGTGAAAAATTAATGTAACACTGGATGGAAATTGATCTTGTGACATTGAAGAAGCTTACTGAAACAATGCCACAGTGAATGCATGTTGTGATCAAAGATAAAGGCGGTCCAACCAAATATTAGTGTGTGACCATTTTTGTGGTGGTGACTTTTTTTGGCCAGGCAGTGTATTTTACTCTCTACCACGCTGAACTTCTTGCGTTTCATGTTCTAAAAACACAACGTTGTGCTCTCAGATCAAATCAGACTAGCAGAATTTGTTGTTTTAGGTTTAACTGGCACTTAAAAGGTTTGATTTTAGTTCAATCAGCACCAATTTTCTAGCAGCTTAAGAAAAAGTGTTATTTTTGAGAGTGCATTGGTGCCATGTAGCGTCCTGTTTTTGCTCTCAGTAGGTCTAACATGATCTTTTCAACTCCTCAAACACTCACATTGTTGGTGGGAACAGGCTTCAACACGTTCCTCACATCTAAGGCTGATTACAGGGTGCTTTCTGTGTGAGGTCTGAGGAAGGTGTTCACAGCAAAGAATGTGGCAGGATGACATCTGAAGCCTGTTTTCAGACAGAAAACAGCTCCTCCACACTTCCTCAGCAGACGGAGATAAGCTTAAACCCTGTTTATTCTAGATGGCAACAGAGACAGGAAACAGAAAAACAGTTAAAAAATCTGTATTTACTGAAAAAACACAGCGAGAGCTAAGTGCTGAGTGACTTTACTCATTTGGTGAATTGAGTAATAGCAGAACTTCTAATATTAGTTGAGAAAAAAAGAAGTGCACTAAGATAAGACCCACAAAGCAAAAATATGTACACTGAAGGCACAGTGATAGAGGAAGCACTGGGAGACATGAAAAGACATAAAGGATGCATAAACAAAAAAAAAAGCAGAATAAAAGAAGGAAGATGCATATCTTACAAAGAACACGTTTTATCTTTTTGCTCTCCTAAACTAGAAGAATCAACCACCAGATGGAGTTTTACAGACTAGTGATGTGCGGATCGATATCAAAATATTGATGCTATCGATACCAGAGCGCTTTGCTCTAGAATCGATTCTTAACTCAAACTCAGAATCAGAAAGAATCAGAATAAACTTTATTGGCATTGCACCGAGATACAACGCGAACATGTACGTACAGTCGTCCGAAGATGGGCCGTGTGCACGAAGCTGCGGCTATAAATAATTAGCGCAGCCTTCTTATTCTTATTCAGAATAATATTTTGCTTAGATAAGAAAAGGAAAGAAAACATGAGGAGAGACGGTATAAAAAAAAGATCTCTCACACCGTGTCCTAGACAGGGCACAATTTGAGGCATCAAAAAAACCTACCACAGCAAAGCAACATAAACAGACGTTATACATTTTACATATAGGCGGTGGAAACATTGAATTTTTAAGGGAAAGTCATAGCATAGTCCAGAGCCCCCCCTCAGCCATTGTCCAGATAAGAGGTGACGTTCATCTTCAGCATATATATACACACATGTGCATATACATACATACATGTGGGGGGGAAACACGTCTGGTTCCACCGTAGAATAGCAGGAAAAAATAAATAAATAAATAAAATAAAAACTATCGATAGTTTTGATACTTCAGTCATTTCAGGTAATGCATGTCATTAACAGAAAGGTAGTGGAAAGTAAACTCTTGAGATCTTGTCTAAATGATGTGCGGTTGGTGGGAACTACTTTTTCTTCTGCCAGTGGTGTGTAATGTGTGTAAACGGAGCGGCACGCTGCTCGTCGTGGTCAGTCTGACTGTAAACATAAACAATGGCGGAACGTACACAAAGTCATGTGTGGAGCTATTTCAGCTCCAAAAACAACCAAGAACCTGTTTGTGAAGTTTGTGGAAAAACTGTAAAAAGCTGTGGCATATGCTTATGAAATAAGTAACACAATAAATTAATTCTCAAACAGTTTGCATGAGTTTAGTTTGGAGTAATAATATGTTTATCACTGAGATAATCTCACATGGGCAAACAATATTTTACAACAATATTTCCTAAAGAATTGATAATTTAAAGTGGATTACATGGACCAGGTGTCATCAAATTATACAGAGCAAAGGTGATAAAACATCCTTGCTTGGTGAACTCTGAAAAATATATACAGTAGTAGAAAATATGGATTAAAAATTAGTCTTAAAAACATCTATTATTTACAATTTGAATTTATATTATTTCCATTACTGTGCAATTATTGTGGCATTTATTTATTTAATTAAAAATTTAACTGGCAATTTCAATTTGAGTCACCCAGTATTATGAAGGAGGAAGTGTTTGTATCCCCTAATTGTAGGCTCTTTGGAGGGACTACATACACAGTTGAATCTAAATAAGATTAAGCATTCAGTGCATAGTAGCCAATAATTTGTTTTATTCCTGTGATATATATATAT